AACGTCACGATAAGATATTATACATCCTGGAACGTTAAGCATTTTTGCTTACAATTTTTTTGTTCTCAAAAACATTTTAAAATTTTAGAACTACTTTCTATGCTGCTACTATGGAGGGTAGAGGTAAGAAATATCTCTTGGAATTTTATTTGAAAAAGTGGTCACCAAAATGGGACGAATAAGGGTTCACTAATTTCCACAGTGGCGCTAACAAGCAATGAGGGATCGAACTGAACTTAGCGGTTACAAATAAAGGTATTAGTTATTCAAACCTACTGAATACATATAAAATTTCATCAAAATCGGTTATGCCGTTTCGGAGAGTGCGGTAAAAAAATAGGAAACAACCCTAGTTAAAAATAAGGGTTAATGGTAGAAGGATGAAAATTTAGGGTTGTATGTTGTAATGCAATGGTGACCGGTGACGAAGAAGTAAAGGCTCTCGTCTCCCAATTCAAGATGGTACTGAATCCTACACCCGGCATTTCCGACAGCCGACTACGCATTAAAATAAAAAAATAGTATGGGTACCTTAGGTCAGACTCAGCCTTAAATGAGTATTTGGGATTCACAATCCTGAGGTAATAATAGGCGGTTGAAGCGTAGTGCTAGCCATTACCATCTCTTGTATACCGAACGGCTCCGCATGCTGTACCTGTTACTCCCAAGACGTTAACATTGGTGCCCCAAAATTGGCTCACCCCTATAATTTTTATTTTTTTTCAGATAAAATAACGAGATTTGGTATGTTAGTATATGAGATAAATTAGGATTAATGAATATATTCAGTTGTTTTGTCATCGGTTTTGAAATGATTACAACTTTTGGATTTTAAATGGCAATTCTGTGTATTTTTACTTTATTCAATAAGAAATGACACTTGAATAGAATGACATATCATATGTCTACTTTTGATATTTTCGCATATGCTTATTTTGAAATTGTAAATACGCGGTCTATAACGACAATTTGACTCGAAATACCAAGTGTGTGTGGTATCAAATTATTCGTAAAAAGTTTTTTTCCAAATACTAATGAGCCACCATCGTTCTATTTGAAAAAATTCGAGATATGATTAAGAACACGATTTGGGTGATCTTTTAATCCGGCTAGGGACAAGACACTGAAAAACATTAGACAATCAAACTGACATCCATTAGTGTTTATAACAGCCATGACATTTAGATTAAAATTCTCCTAAAATACTACCTGTTTTTGAGCTGAATATGTCAAAAGCTTGATATAAAATGATATGTCATTCGTTTCCCAGAGTGTCATTTTTTATCGAATAAAGTAAAAAAATACCGAGGGTGCCATTTAAAATCAAAGTTGTTGTCATTTCCGGTGGAAATAGGAAATAACTGAAAACAATTGAATACCCTCAATCAATCTTAATTTATGTCATATACTGACATACCAAATCTAGTTTTTTTTATCTGAAAAATAAAAAAAGTTATAGGGGTGAGCTTACTTTTAAGACGCACCCGATATATGGGAGCTATTATTATTATTATGTTGTAATGCCAAATCATAAAAAAATAAAACTAAACAATTTTGTCCAATTCCTATCATATCTTATCACCTAGGGGTATAAAAATAGATAACAACTCTACCTCAGACCTACTGAATATACATACATAACAAAAATAATCAAAATCATGTTGGGGAGAGCACGGTAAATGCACTGTGACACGAGAGAATTAGAAGTATATATTAGATAATTGTAAAGGAATCATGCTCGATCATGCTACTGAGATGAAATTAATCAAGAGATGATTTCTTGTATTTCCAAATTATGTAAGCTGTGATGTTAATTACTTTGATGGGTTGCGTGTAAGCCCTGTATTTATCAAAAATATACCATGTAAATTTAATTATGTAGACGGGTCTATTACACCTACATAACTGCACCATACAGATAGAACTCCGCTCTATTACACGTCAAAATACGATTCTTCTTATGGGTCTGAAGAAATTTCTTTGTATAGAGGTGCGATTAGGCACGTGGGTGCTCAAAACATAATCAAACCTGGGCAAAGTTTCAACGGGCCAGTTGAAAGAATAGCGGCAAAAAGTCATTGGCAGTTTAACCAGCATCCGATATATTTACGACACCTTTTATTATTAGCCTTTGTGTTTTTATAGGCGTGAAGTTTGTGGTACGTGTTCAATAGCACGTAGTCCTGCCTAGACAAGTATATCATAAAGAAAAATACTATGTATGATCATAAAGTATGTGGATCATAAAGAAAAATAATTATTGATGTTTGAAATGATGAAAAAAAATTATTTACATGTTTTTTCTCATCATAAAATAATACAGGTTTTTGACCCAACTTCAGGTACATTAAAATGTTTAGTCTGGAGCATACTGTGTTAGCGAACATGTCGAACATTTGTTAATTAAACTGTTTCCAATATAGTGGAATTTATGCGAAATACGAGTATATTTATAGGACAAGAATATTCCGAAGTTCCGTACTGTATAGGGTGTCCTATTTTTCGTGTGTTTAATGCCTGTGCTCAGTTTATTTTAACGGTTGAGTGGACTATTTCTGCAATTTATGTCTTCCAAAAATAAAGTATTCCGTTTTGTTTAAATTAAACGTGTTACAAAATTTTTATGATAAAGAGTATATAAGTTAATAGATACAGCAATGCTGTTCTAATAGAACAGCCTTGGGGCGAGATTTATGACGTCACGCTAGTTAGATACTACGGATTAATAAATATGTTGTAGAATACATGGAAAACATAATTATTCCTCAGATTTTTGGTTTGTATTTTAAAAATGATGTAATTTAAATGAAATATACATAATATACAGTTAATAACTACAGCATATATACCTATTTATAGTAATAAATACTTTGGCAAATAAACTATGAACCATATAAATGCAGCAAATGTTTTATAAATATACAAATAATGTATTACATAAGATACTGGGTAAAATGTAAATATATTTTAAATTTTGGGGTTTGAAAATCGATCTAATTTAACAAAAAACATTCAATATCTACTAATAGTGATGTATTATTATTTGCATTCACAAAATTTATATGCATATTTTGCAAGTATCAATGTTCGAAAAATTATACCGTATGATCGAGAAAAAACGGCGTCCAGTTGGCTGGGAAATGAAGATCGCTGTCATTTTAAATGTAAATTTATATAGGAAATGTCATCGATCGTCATTTCAGCCAACTGGACGCCATTTTTTTTCGATCATACGGTATTTACAAAATAATACAATATCATCTAAAAAAGGGCGCTTCTGGCGAGGCGTGAAATGGAAGATCGCTGGTATTTATGTAAAATTACTGTAAAATTTTTGATTTGGGATTTTTAGGTTCCGGGAAAACGCGATTTAAGTTTTCATTTGGGTTTTCATTATTTTTATTTGGTTTAAAAAAAAACGTTTTGGCTAACTATAGCCTTCATCAGTGTTGTGTCATATGAAAAAAATAGTGTCGAATATAATCCAAAAAATTACATATGAAATATTCACACCACATAATAATGAAAACTTAATCAGCGTTTTTCCCGAACCTAAATCCCAAGAAAATCAAAAAATTTAGAATATCTAGAAACAAGGTTCAAGAATATCAAATTTTCCAAGATTGTAAAATTCTAGTTAAATTTTATGTGTACAATTATTTAGGAATGTCATCGATGTTCATTTCAAGCCAACTAGACGCCGATTTTTTTCGATGATACGGTATAATTTAAATGCAAATAACATTCGACCAATTAAAACAAAGAAATAAGGAATTTTTAGTATTTTTTAGTAACACCTTTATTCTTAAAACTTAATTTTGTATTGCAAATATACCAATTTTATTGTTATTTTATTCATATTGTATTCAGCCATCACTTAAATATTTGATATTAATTTGGTATTATAAATAATCAACACTATTCAGTAAAAATTACTGAACAAATATATGTTATGCTTTACATACATTAATTATCAAACAAAAACACATTCTTCTTTTAAACTTTATCATTCTTGTCTTTACAAAAATCTTTTTTAATTTTGAACTCAAAATAATAATCTTTTTCATGATCTTTAATACACATATTCTTTATTTTTCCCTAGATCATAATACCTACTTACGTGTTTGAATCTATCGAAGTTGAACCAACAACACTTGGAGTGGAGATTCCACAATAAGAATAAAATTAACATAATTGTTCAGTTTTCTTTAATACCATCCTGGGAGAATATCATTTTTAAGTTTATTAAAGATATTTTCAATAGAATTGTCTTGATTTATAACTCGTACCCACTTTTCTTGCTCTTCTGAATACTTTAAGCTGCCTAGTATAACTATCCTTTCCACCAGGAACATAACAAAGATGAGGCATAGCACCAAAAAACACTCCACTTAAGCTTTATTGATGAATTGTTAGAGTCTTAAAAAACACACACAAAAATCACGATAAATAAAAAATTTATGGGCACTTTTAGGTTAAAGCACTTAACAAAACGTGTAATATTTCGTGTTTTTTTATGAGAAACAGAGTGACCATCATAGTGACCATATATCTGGTAGTACTTTGTCACTTAAACACCAAAAATAATTAGTTTTTTGCACTACAATAACAAATAATACTCAAAATCAACCGACAATATGAATACAGAATCTAACCCAATATCTAAGTGTACAGCTGATGAAGTAAATGCCCGCCTGTAGGCTAGGGATCTTTTATAGAGGGCATTGATACAGTAATGTTACATGTCAATAAATATCTAAACTATTAATGTGTCTGTGGCTCGCCGTGAAGTTGGCAACACAACCAACTCTCCACCAGAGACATGTATTCCGCCACAGATCCGTAATCCTGACATACTCCCCCACCTTGAAAGCGACATTTTCCTTCAACATCCACTTTCATCATCGAAACATAGATGGAGGGAATGTATCTTGAAGTGACTTCTTATTTTGCTTGATTTGGCAGAGGACACAGCTTCACACATGAACGTTTGATTGTACCTGTGCTGGTTTTCACTGTAGCTACACGAACAGTTCCATCTTTCCCTGGGTAGACTTCTATAACTCTGCCTAAGGACCATTTTAAAGGGGGTTGGTTTTCTTCTTTAATGACCACCAAGTCATTAATCTTAATGGGGTTCACTTTTTGCTGCCATTTGGACCGCTGTTGGAGCTCGGAAATATATTCTAATGACCACCGGGACCAAAAATGTTGTTGTAGCTGCTGGATTCGTTGATATGTTGATAATCGGTTTTCAGGTATCTCTACGAGATCTCGTTCAGGTAATGACGTTAATGGTCGGCCGATTAAAAAGTGAGAGGGAGTAAGAGGTGTTAAATCTGAGGGTTCGTTGGATAAAGGGCTCAAAGGGCGAGAATTGAGAACAGCCTCAATCTGAACTAATGCGTGTAAAATTGTTCAAAAGTTAGTAATGCATTACCCGCTACGCGCTTTAAATGACATTTGACAGATTTAATTCCTGCCTCCCATAAGCCTCCAAAGTGAGGTGAGCGAGATGGAATGAAAGACCAGCTAACTCCTTCATTTTCTATATGTTCAGACAAAGATTTATTATTTTCTTGTAAGAAATTATATAAACGTTGCATTTCAAAATTAGCACCCACAAAATTTGTGCCGTTGTCTGAAAACATTTGAATCGGTTTTCCACGTCGAGCAATAAAGCGTTTAAATGATGCTAAAAATGCTTCCTTAGTTAGATCAGAAACAAGTTCGATATGTATGGCCTTAGTCACAAAACAAACAAATAAAGCAATGTAAGCCTTTGTAATCTTGCAGCCACGTCCTTGCCTGTCCTTTACTGAAAATGGCCCCGCATAATCTACTCCTGTTCTATAGAATGCTGGGGCAGGTGTAATTCTATTTTTTGGTAAATTTCCCATTAGAGGAACACTTGATTTCGGGTGTGTTCTAAAACATTTAACGCATTCTCGATATATTTTTCTTGCTAAATTACGTCCTCCTAGGGGCCAATATGATTGACAAATTGATGCTAAAAGGTGTTGAGGTCCGCAGTGTAATAAACGCCGGTGTTCCCTATCAAATAGTAATTCAGAAAATATATGTTTCGAGCTTAAGATAATTGGGAATTTTCGGTTGAAGTCCAGATCTGTATTACCTAATCTACCACCCACTCGCATTATCTTGTCCTTGTCAAAAAATGGCTGAATATGGGATAATCTTCCTCTTTTAATTTCACCTTGTTGAAGCTGAAATATTTCTTCCGCAAATGATTCATGCTGAGCAAATCTTACTAGATATAAATGAGCATTTGCAATTTCTGTGTGCTTTAAGGCTCCCTTGCTTCTTTCTCCTGTTTAGCTTTACAATTTGTAATAAATCGTAAACAGTATGCTAAAACACGTTCCAAATGCGATAGATTAGAATAATTATTAAAGTCGATTATTGGTTCACTGATAAATACCGTTTCCATCAATGTAACCTTACGTAATTCTGGTAACTCTACATTGATTTCAAGAGTATGCGGCCATATGTCCTCAGTTGATTTCAACCAGTCTGGACCAAACCAGTAAAGATTAGAAAATGGTAATTCTTTGGGTCTTACACCACGTGACACCAAATCGGCTGGATTATGACTGGATGGAACATGTCGCCAGTCGCTTACGTTTGTGATTGTCTGAAGTTCTGATACTCGGTTAGCTACAAACACTTGTAGTTGATTTGGACTCATATTAAGCCAACCCAAAACTATTGTAGAATCACACCAATATACTATTCTACTTGGTACTAGTTTGGTTGCTTCTAATATTTTTTTTATTAGGCGTGATAGCAGTAAAGCACCAATTAATTCCAAACGTGGAATCGTCTGAACCTTCAATGGAGCTATTTTTGATTTAGCACAAATCAATCTTGTTTGTATTTTTCCTTCTTCATTTTGCGATCTTAAGTACACGCAGGCTCCGTATGCGTAAGACGATGCATCACTGAATCCATGAATTTCAATGTTGATTGCGTGTTTACACGTTATCTGTCTAGGAATTTTGATATTATTCAGATTACTTAATTCGTTTCTAAAGTTTAGCCATCTCGTATGTAAGGGTTGTGACAAAGATTCATCCCAGTCAAGTTTTTCTATCCAAATATCTCTTAGGATAATTTTAGCCACAATTATACATGGACTTAGTAAACCCATTGGATCAAAAATCTGAGCTATTTCTGACAAGACAGTTCGTTTTGTAATATGTTTATTAAAACTATTTCCAATCTTATAAAGAAAACAGTCTTCCTTTCCATTCCACGTCACGCCTAATGTTTTGGTTAGTTCGTTTACACCTAGATCAAGTGTATCTGCTTCATTTCTTTCTTTCAGTGATTGAAGTATTGTATTATTATTAGATATCCATTTACGAAGACGAAAACCTGCTGTATTAAGGACCTTTGATATCTCTGTTACTATGTTAATAGCCTCTTCAATTGTATCAGCACCACTCAACAAATCGTCAACATAAAAGTGGTTTTGTATTACATTTGCTATTGGGGATTTAGTTTTTTTCTATTTCCACCCCTAACTGATATAAACATCTAATGGCTAAATATGGCGCTGCAGATGTGCCAGCAGGTTACTGTGCGTCTAATTCATAAAATTCTCGAGTGGCTCATCAGGTGTTTCACGCCACAAAAATTCTTTTGTAATGGTTTTGTTGTATCTGACACATCCTATACATTTTCTATATCAGTACCAATTACATAGTTTGTAATGTCTGATAGCAGCAGGAGTGAGAATAAATCTGACTGGATTGTAGGTCCAACAAGTTGCAAATCGTTAAAAGAATATCCACTACTACTTGGACATGAAGCATCAAATACTACCCGTAACTTGGTAGTCAAACTTGATTCTTTTATAACGCCATGATGGGGCATGTAATAACTAAAAGTTGCATTATCTGGATGTTCTATCTTGGACATATGTTTCATATTTTTATACTCGTTAATAAAATTGATATAACGTTTCTTGAATTCAGGATCTCGTTTAAATCTTCGTTCTAGAGATAAAAACCTTGGTTTTGCTATATCGTATTTATCGCCTAGGACTTCAGGACCTTGTTTTAGAGGAATAGTTACTACAAAGCGTCCTTCACTGTCACGTTTGAAAGTCCTTACAAATTCTTCTTCACACAATTTTTCTTCGTTTGACAGTGGTTTGGAGTGTCGAAACTCTTCTAATTCGCAGAAACGAGTGAGCTGCTTGTCAATGTCATTAGCTTTAGAAAAATTACGTATTGTCGTGGTACAAGGATTTGACTGCATACGTCCTGCAATAACCCAACCTAATTTACCCTTTTGTAATAATAATCCATTATTTAACTTGATTTGTCCAACACACATAAGGTTCCAGAAACAGTCAGCTCCTAAAAGCACATCAACTCTCTCTGGCTTATAAAAATGAGGATCTGCCAATTTAATATTGTCTGGAATGTTCAAATTTTTGATATTAATTTTAAAATTAGGCAAGGTTTCTGTAATGTTTCTTATAACTAGAAAAGAATTTTTAAATGAAAAGTTGTTTACCTTAGAATGTACTTGTATAGAAATCTTTCCTGACACATTAGATTGAGCTTCACTCAAACCACTTACTGTTATCTTGGTTGGTATTACATCAAACTGTAACTTATTACAAAAGTCTTCGGTTATAAAACTACTTTGAGAACCTGAGTCTAAAAGTGCCCGTGCTACATGACATTTCCCATTTTTATCAAAAATCTTTAGTAATGCTGTTGAAAGAAGTACCTGATCTCCATTAAAATTAATATGTGATGATAAATTAACTGTCTGTTCGTTTTCTGAACTGGATACTCGTTCTTCATGTAATAAGGTATTATGTCGAGCATTACAGGTTTTACAGGAACTTGCATAGCACATTTTACTTGTATGACCCAACCTTAAACAGTTAAGACACAAGTGATTCTTCATTGCTTGTGTTCGTCTTTGTTCGATTGATAACCTTACAAATGCCTCACAATTTTGAATGTAATGGTCCTTTTTGCAATATACACAGTACGGTTTTGATGCAACAAAGGCTTTTGTTTTATTGTCACCCTTTGACCTTGGAATGACTCGTTTAGAATTCTTACTTTGTTCCAATGTTTCCAACATGTCTGCTCGATGCTTCAAGAATGTGGTTAAATTATCTAAAGTTGGATTTACATAACCAGATTTTGCTTCCTCCCAATGCTTTAATGTCTCATTATCTAGTTTTATAGAAATTAAATATATTACCAATGTATCCCATGTGTTTGTAGGTTCATCTAAAATGGTGAGGTCTCGTAAATGCTTAGATACATTGTCAATAAGTTTTCTTAAAGCTTGAGATGATTCTTCATGAACCTGATTGAGATTAAATAAGGCTTTAACATGATTTTGCTTTAAGATACGACTATTATTAAAACGATTACAAATTAATTCCCAAGCAGGTTTATAATTTAAAGCAGAAAATGCCAAACTAGCAATAATCTCTCTTACACGCGGACCCAAAAATGCTCTAAGGTAATGGAATTTCTGTATATCAGATAAATTAACATTTGTATGAATTATGACTCGTACGTCTCTAAATTCAAGCCACAGTGAATGTAATCACCATCTATAGGAATTTCAATGGCTGGAGTTTAAGGTTATTTAAATTTTGACATATGTCACATTATCAGAACCCGTTTCTATCTAAGAAGAAAGCATTATCATTGTCTTGTTCAATATTAGTCGTGTTTTACTTACAAGAAATACCTTTGCTCGTGTTGCTAATGTTTTATTGAAATCTGATTCAAATGCTGTGCGTTCATCTAGTTCTACATCAAAATTTGTGGTAATTTCTTCTTATTTGCAATTGTACCTCATCAAGTTTCTCAATTAAATTAAGATAACCGATCTTTACGCTGTGATATGGGGTGCATATATCGTCGGTATTAGTATTAAGTAAACTTACTCCTCTAACTGCTAGATAATTGTTAGATTGTTATCTGAGCCTTAAAGGGCTGCCTGTCTCCGTACTAATTCCCCGGGAATTTCTGTCATAGCATCGATAATAAGTTGCTTCGTTTTTAATCGTGATTTGTTTAAAACCGGTTTAAACCTAATTATGTAAAGACAATAAATTCCACAAAGCTGCCAGTTCAAAATGATTATGATCTCACTACGGTAATGAAGGTTAAAAGGACAAAAAGGGACTCACTTGATTCTTGTCGGCTTTTCTGACCAATTTCCTTGCTTCTTGAGACCATCCGGCTCGAAGGACCAATGTTCGGTTTATTTTAACGTTGAGTGGACTATTTCTGGGTAATTTATGTCTTCCAAAATAAAGTATTCCGTTTTGTTTAAATTAAACGTGTTACAAAATTTTTATGATACAAAGAGTATATAAGTTAATAGATACAGTAATGTTACATGTCACTAAATATCTAAACTATTATCTGTGGTCTGTGGTCGCATGTGAAGTTGGCAACAATAAACTAACTCTCCACCACAGAGACATGTATTCCGCCACAGATCCGTAATCCTTGACAGCCTGGTTCAGTAGCGTAGCGTAGGCCCCGCAGCACCCGCAACGGCGGGGGGGGGGGGCACCAGTTTTATTTATTAAATACATATACATGTAAACAGCGTCCCCTACAATTTCCAAAAATAAAAGAGAAAACATTAAAAATATTTTGGACTTGATTTAATTTTTAAGCTATATTGTTACCTTAATAATGTAGTATGTTTTAATTTTAAACACATAATATTTTTTTCCTTATTTTTATTTGTTTCTTTTTTACATTTTATTAGTTCCTCTTAATTTATTTTAATTTGAATCATATTTTTATTAGAAAAAGTCTATGTTTATTTATTTTTATTATTTAGTTTTCTTTTAGTACCTAAGTTTTGTTTTTTGTTGATTTATTTTATAATGTTTAATTTTTTATTATTTTTTCTTATGTGGAATAAGTTTATTTTTTGTTTTTATATTTTAAATTACTTGATATACAGTACGTCTGTCCGTTCTGTAGCTACGGGGTATTCGATATTCTCTCGATGTTTTTCGTAAAAAATTAGACGACGCGTCCCATCAATAAAAATTCGACAAATTTGCAAGTAGCCAATAAAATGAGTGGGCGAAACGATTTGCGGTGACGTACTCGTCAAGTCGACGTATAAAATATATTGCTGTTTATTTAAATGTTTTTTGTCCGCATTTCTTTCATAGACACAGATCCAGCAGACGTACTGTACCTACATAAAGCTATATTATGTTTTTTAGTGTGTCTTTTTTATTTTAATATAAGGGCCCCAAAAAAATCTTGCCGGGGGGCCTCACATCTGAAGTTACGCTACTGGCCTGGTTTAATGGGGTTTCTCGTTTATGAGTAGAGATACAAAGATGGGGTTTTCACATCACTGTGCTACTTATGAAACTAAAGATACTACACATAGATTTTTCCATGCCTCCTTCTCCTTAATTCCTGAAATACAGGTCGAATTTAAAAATTTTGCATTTTTCCTTTTTTTACATTGACTCCCCCTCGTATCTCGGTTAACCTATAACTTATCCAAAAGACAAAAAGTGAGTTTTATAGAGTTTTTCACGTGGAATATAGTGGCGTAACTAGTTTTTGGCTGAGAGCTGTCAATTTTAAAATGACGAAAAGTTATGTTTTTTTTAGGATACACAATATATTATTTTATTATAATTTTTCTTACTATGAATTTTTTTAAGAACAATTTAAGGTAAAAAACGTATTATTTAACTTTTTAACATAAATCAATCTACTTTAAAGGAGATTTATTATTGTATTTGATTTAATTTTGATTTCCGTCGTGTTATCTCAATAAACTGCACCGAAAATGAACTTGTACAGTTTTTAGCTAACACCCCATCAATAATTAAAGTTATTGATATTTTTGTGCAATAATTCTACAAACAGAAAATGGCTTAAATAGTCAATAATCAAAATTTTACGCCGAATAAATTTTTTGATTGTTTTGATTACCTGATTTTATCCGGCCACCCATGTTAAAAAGTTAAATAAAGCATTTTTAACATTTTTTATCTTTGCTAAAATGTTCTTTCTTGATAGGTTTTACGGCCTAAGCTTCCAAGACTATACGGCCATGGTAAGATGTTTATTTACTCCAGAGTTTATTACGCTGTACTGTCCGGGTCGCTCTCAGGGGTCGGGTAAAGGCTGATTCATGGTACACCGTGACGGGCCGGGGCCGTGCGACGGTGAAGGCACGGCCAAACATTGTCAAATGTTATTTATACCTATGCATTCATGCTAAGCCGAGCACGGGCCGAGCTTCGCCGGAACCCGTCCGTGCCCCGTCC